CCAGAGCCAAGAAGAATGAAGAAAACCAAAAATTCATGGAAACAATTAGTCCTAGAGACTGGTACACCATCCAATCTGCAGCCTATACGACTATGAGACCAGAAGAAATAGATGGTGCTCAGCTACTACTGTCAACCACTTGGAAGAGGATCTTTGTAGGAAATCCTGGATAGACAGGGAGAACAATGTGGAACAAAACTCAAAATTATTTGAAAGAAAAAAAAAAAGTGAGGAACAGGTTTGCTGGCCCAATAGAGCCTGGTGGAACCACTGAGACTATAGCCCCTAGCTTGCCCTTCAGGTCTGGAATTGAACACACACCTGTAGCTTCCAGCCAAACAGTAGACAGGCATTCTAGTTGAGCATTTACCTGAGGAAGATACACTCCTTGGAGAGAACAATCATGAGAGAAAGAAGGGCTGCTCAGGCACAGGGAGACAGCTCAGGGTGTAGGAATGCACGGAGAGAAGGACACAGGGAAGAGGTAACTATTGGGAGGAAGTGAGAGGGGAGATGTTGCATTGTGCTAAATTGTGGTCAATGTCATGAAACAAAGTGTGTGTGAACTTCTGTATGGAAAGTGTATTTGCTCTGTAAATTTTCACTCAGATCACAATAAAAAAAAAAAAAAAAAGGATACTACATGGTATAAAATCAGGAAAAGCATGCATCAGAATTGTATCCACCACCATACTTGTTCAATCTGTATGCTAAGAAAATACTCTGAGAAGCTGGACTATATGAAGAACATGACATCAGGATTGGAGGAAGACTTATTAACGACCTGCAATATGCAGGTGCACAACCTTGCTTGCTGACAGTGAAGAGGACTTGAAGCACTTACTGATGATCAAGACTACAGCTTTCAGTATGGACTACACCTTAATACTAAGAGAACAAAATTTCTCACAACTGGACCAATAAACAACATCTTGATAAGTGGAAAAAAAAAAGAATATATATGTGCAAATATATGAGATACATATGTATCTAAATATCTATAGATATCAACAGATCAAACATATATTCACAGGAAACCTTGTTTTACTGTACTCTGCTCTATTGAGCTTTGCAGATACTGCGCTTTTTACAAATTGAAGATTTGTTGCAGTCCTTTGTTGAGCAAGTCTATCGGTGCCATTTTTCCAACAGCATGTGCTCACTTTGTGTCTCTGCCACATTTTGATAATTCTCACACTATATCAAACTTTTCATGATGCTATTGCACACTTAATAGACTACTCAAAATTAAACCAAACTCACTGCCATCAAGTCGAGTCCAACTCATAGCTACCCTCACTGGGTTTCCAGGGCTGTAAACCTTGGGTCAGGTACACCTCACTCAGCATAGTGACACCTTTGCTTCATAAACCTTTAAAGAAGTCTTCTGCCACTGATTTTTACCAATGCAATATGGCTTTTGATTTCTTGACTGCTGCTTCCGTGGACGTGGATTGTTGATCCAAGGAGACTGAAATCACTGAAACTTCAACTGCTTCTTCTCTTATCGCTGATGTTGTTTATCAGCCCAGAAAATTTAAACTACACTCAAGAACCATCACTTACCTATGAGGATGGCAACAACTCAAGAGCATAACAAAACAATCTGCAGGCAAGGCTGCTGAGAAACAGGTACTTTTAGAATTCTGCTGAGGATGGGAACTACCACCACCCCCTGGTGACCAAACTCCCTGCACACTCACCCTTTGACTCAGCAATCCAACTTCTAGGAATTTACCCCAAGTTTGCACCTCCAGCAGTATAATAAAAACATAAATCTAGCAAAAGATGGAGTGTTATAAAATTTACCAGGACAATAGTATATAGGATGTAAATTGTTAGCTGCTGACTCATCATGATGCCATGCACAATGGAATGAAATGCTACCCGGTCCTTCACCATCTCCATGACTGGTTGCAGACTGGACCATTGTGCCCCATAGAGTTTTCATTGGCTGATTTTCAAAAGTTTATCCCCAGAACTTTCTTCCCAGTCTATCTTAGTCTGAAGCTCTGCTCAAACCTATTCAGCACCATGCAGTTGTTAGATGCCATCAAGTTGACTGCGACTCATAGCCACCTGAAACACTCATAGAACGAAACACTGCCTGGTCCTGCGCCAGCCTCACAATCCTTGCTATACTTGAGCCCGTGGTTGGAGGCACTGTTCAATCCATTTCCTTGAAGGTCTTCCTCCATTTCATTGATCCTCCACTTTACCAACCATGACATCCTTCTCCAAGGAATGGTCCCTTCTGACAACATGACCAAAGTAGGTGAGATGAAGTCTGGCGATTCTCGCTTTCAAGGAACATTCCAGCTGCACTTCTTCCAGGACAGATTTGTTCATTCTTCTGGCAGTCCATGGTACTTTCAGTATTCTTCACCAACACAATTCAAAGGCATCAACTCTTCTTTAGTATTCCTTATTCATTATCCAGATTTCACATGCATATGAGGCGACCAAAAATACCATGGCTTGGGTTAGGTGCACCTTAGCCTTCAAAGTGACATCTTTGCTCTTCAACACTTTAAAGAGATCTTTTGCAGCAGATATGCCCAGTGCAGTATGACATCTGATTTCTTGACTGCTGCTTCCATGGACGTTGAGTATAGATCCAATTGAAATGAAATCCCTGTCAACGTCAATCTTTTCTCCATTTATCATGATGTTGCTTATTGGTCTAGTTGTGAGGATTTTTGTCTTCTTTATGTTGAGGTATAATCCATACTGCAGACCACAGTTTTTGATCTTCATCAGTAAGTGCTTCAAGTCATCTTCATTTACAGCAAGCAATGTTGTGTCATCTGCATATCACAAGTTGTTAATGAGCCTTCTCCCAATCCTGATGCCATGTCCTTTTTCAGATTATTTGCTCAGCATAGAGATTGAGTAAGTATGGTGGAAAGATACAACCCTGACACACACTCTTTCTGATTTTAAACCATGCAGTATCCCCTTGTTCTATTCAAATGACAGCCTCCTGGTCTAGGTACAGGTTCCTCATGAGCACAATTAAGTGTTCTGAAATTTCATTCTTCACAACATTATTTATAATTTGTTATGATCCACACAGTCAATGCCTTTGCATAATTAATAAAACACAAGTAAGCATATTTCTGGTGTTCTATGCTTTCAGCCAAGATCCATCTGACATCAGCAATGATATCCTTCATTCCAAATCCTCTTCTCAATCTGGCTTGAATTTCTGGAAGTTCTTTGTCAATAGACTGCTGCAACCATTTTTCTATTATCTTCAGCAAAATTTTACTTGTGTGTGATATTGATGGTACTGCTTGATAATTTCCACATTCTGTTCAATCACCTTTCTTTGGAATGGGCATAAATACTGATCCCTTCCAGTGAGTTGTCCGGGTAGCTGTCTTCCAAATTTCTTGGCATAGATGAGTAAGCGACTCCACCACTGCATCCGTATGTTGAAACATCTCAGTGGGTATTCTGTGAATTCCTGGAGCCTTGCTGCTTTGCCAACTCCTTCAGTGCAGCTAGAACTTCTTCTCTCAATACCATTGGTTCTTGATCATATGATACCCCCTGAAATAGCTGAACATCAATCGATTCCTTTTGGTAGACTGACTCTGTGTATTCCTTCTATCTCTTTTGATGCCTCCTGCATCATTTAATATTTTGCTCACAGGATTCTTCAATACAGCAACTCGAGGCCTGAATTTCTTCTTCAGTTCTTTGAGCTTGAGAAATGCTAAGTGTGTTCTTCCTTTTTAGTTTTCTAATTCTAGGTCTTCGTACATTTCATTGTAATTCTTTACTCTGTCTTCTTGAGCCACCCTCTGAAATCTTCTGTTCAGCTCTTTTATCTCATTCTTTCTTCTATTTGCTTTAGCTACTCTCCACTCAAGAGCAAGTTTGCAGAGTCTGACATCCATGTCAGTCTTTTCTTCTCCTGTCCTTTTAATGACTGTGTGCTTTCATCGTGTATGACATTCTTGAAGTCATCGCACAACTCATCTGGTTTGTGGTCAGTGCATCAAATCTATTCTTCAGATGATCTCTACATTCAAGTGGGATATAATCAAGGTCATTTTTTTGGCTCTCGTGGGCTCGTCTTCATTTTCTTCAGTTCAACTTTAACTTGCATATGAGCAATTGATAGTCTGTTTCACACAGCTCCTGGCCTTGTTTTGGTTGAAGATACTGAGCTTCTCCATCACCTCTTTCCACAAATGCAGTCAAATTGATTCCTGTTTATTCCATTTGACCAGATCCACATGTAAAGCCACCATTTATATTGTTGAAAACAAGTATTTTCAATGAATAAGTCATTGGTCTTGCAAAATTCTATCCTGCGACCTCTGGCATCATTTCTATCACCAAAGCCGTATTTTCCACCTACTGGTGATTCCTCTTTGTTTCCAACTTTTGCATTACAATCACCAGTAATAATCAATACATTTTAACTGCATATTTGGTCAGTTTCAGACAGACAGTAAAAATCTTCATTCCATTTCTTCATCTTTGCTTTAGTGGTTGATATGTAAACCTGAATAACAGTTGTATTAACTGGTCTTCCTTGTAGCGTAGGGATATTATCCCATCACTGACAGCATTGTACTTGAAACATTTTTGGTGATGATGAATGTAATACTATTCCTCTTCAATTTGTCATTCCTGGAATCATAGATCATACAATTATCTAATTTCAAATGGCCGATACCAGTCCATTTCAGCTCACTTACTCCTAGGGTATTGATCTTTATGCATTCCATTTCATTTTTGATAACTTCCTATTTTTCCTAGATTCATATTCCATATATTCTATGTTCTAATTATCAGTGGATATTTGCAGCTGCTTCTTTGCATTTCGAGTCATGCCACCTCAGCAAACCGAGGTCCCAAAAACTGTACTCCATCCACATCAGCATCAGAGCCCCACACAAACCTCCGATGACAGACGAATGGTGGCTGAGCAGGAGGTACAGTGGCTGTGACTGAAACTCGAGTCCCCAGCATGGAAGGTGAGAATTCTACCAGTGAACCACTATGACCCCTCCAAAAAAAAGATTTAAAAAGCATGTTCTAATTCTCCCCCATGTTGTTATGCTATGTTATGTTATGGGTACCAGATTTAGACAGCTGTGTAAAAGCAGAAGTCCCTGGTTGGGAGAAACAGTTGCTAACCAAAAGGATGGAGGTATGAGTGCACCCAGAAGTGCCTCAGAAGAAAAGTGTTGGAGACCTACTTTGAAAAAAAATCCATCAAAAACCCTAAGGAGCATAGTTCTACTCTGACATACACAGGGTCACCATGAGTTGAATTTGACCCAATGGCAACCGGCTTCTGCTTAAAGAAATAGAAGCTCTGTGAGTGCCCTCCAGCTGCTGTGGGCAGATGCTGAGCCTGGGCTGACTGCAGGCCTTGCAGCAGCACCAGGAGGCCATCTGTGCGCCATCGGCCTCGCACAGGCAGGGAGTGGTGGCCACCTCTCACAAGTGTCACTGGTTCCTGTGATTCCCTAACCCTCTGAAAGCTTATGACAAGCTGAGAACCAATGACAAACAGAAAGCTAACAACAGCTTTCCCCACCATCTTCCTCCAGGTCACTCATTCTTTTATAAGCCCCCAGTTCTCTGTGTTAAGTACCTCCCTTCTTGAAATCGCACGATGTTGTATCATCAATATTTTGAACAAATCACAGTTTTAAATCCCCACCTAGCTCCACAAGTGTCAACTTAAACTCTACCCTGTGGCTGAATCTGGCCCTTTCAACTGTACACAGACTCCTCCTAAAACCCTCCTCTGAAGCTCCCATCCTGAACGTGGCTCTCACCTGCCCCAGCTCTTCATTGAGACTGGAAGTTCTGGCCACAGCATAGAGATTATTTTCTTTAAAATGCATATCTTCATCCTGCAAGAAACAAAAACATAATCTTAGCTACACAGTCAGTACCAAAGCTCCAAGTTTCTTCAGGGAGTCTATATGGCCACTCATCTTCCAGTGTGACTGCCACGGAGAAGGAATTCACAATGGAGAGTCTAGAATACTTGGACATAAATAGATACATGCTAGTTTCTCACAGGCACTGGGAAAATCAATTCAGAAGAACAGTGCCATGGGGGAACAAGTAGTGGTGATTTGGAATTGGAAGACTCGGCTTTCAGATGCTGGCTCTGTGTCAGACACACTGTGAGACCCTGAGTAAGCCACTAAGGTCTCTGGGCCTCAGCTACTATACCCATAAAATGGGAGTATGCGGTATAGTAAATTATTTAGTGTGGCTTTTCTACCCATAAGTCTTTGTAAACTCCAAGGTGGGATTTTCTATGAGCAACTGAGGAGCTCCTGATTGCTGAAGTTGTCCACCTGGAGTATTTCTGTTGTTCTGGGAGGTTCCCACTCTCTCTCACATGCTTAGAGT